GTTAATTTATCAGATGAGTTTTGGAACGCAGTTATTTTCTCCAACGAATGGAAGTTTAACAATTTCGGTAGTGATGGACGACAATATGTGCGGAGAAAACCAAACGCCGAACATCAGACCCTAACAATTTGTGTTTGTTTAATTAATACATAATGTGAGGATTCAGGGATCAGAAGATCCTCGTGTTACAAGGAAGAGCTGAAACGGGACAGCCCGAAAGTGAATGTTTGGTAGGGAATGCTGCATGACAAAATTTTAGGATCATTTTTCTTCCATGAACAAACAGCAACAGTTAGACTCCACCTCGATACATTGATTAATCACATTTGCCCATAGCTGTATTTTTCAGCAGGTTGTCTCACCATTACACTAGACATTTGTCCCACTGAACACCCGTGATTTTTCCCATGTTTAACTTGTATATGAGCCAGTTTCTCTTAAAAAGTCCTCCACGAAGGCATCCCTCCCTTAAGGCAGATAGCCCTCGAGTGCTTTGCCGTAATCTAATAAATATAAACCCACTGAACACCCTGTAGTTTAACTATCCACAAACTTCCAAGGTGTATACTTTGAAAGAAAACAGGATTACTAATATCTTCCTTTATCGCACTTCAATAGTCTGCAAACACGTAGCATTTAGAATATTATCTAAAGAACGATATGAAAACTGTCGGAACATTTCAAAACACCGAAAGAAAGCATATCGTTTTAGAAAGATAAAACTAGCGGCAAATCCTGTTAACTCTTTGCAGTTTAATAAAACTGTTTATTACATATTTAAAATTTTTAGAATACATCTATTGTGAATATAGGCCAAAAAAAAAAAAAAAAAAAAAAAAAAAAAAAAAACAAAGATCCAAAATGAACTTCATTCTTCTATCAAACATTTGCAGAATTTTTTTTTTCTCGCCTGCTTGCCGTTATGTTATCTAAGATACAAACAATTTACGTGACCTTGGTGTTAAGCGCAGTTATCTTCGAGTGGAAGGTGATTTCGCTTTACAGCTAATCGAACATTTACGTATTTAAGTTCTGATCAAAGTCTTTTAGAGCCAAAATCTCTGTGCCAACCAATGAATGCAATAGCTGCTTACATGCAAAGTATACAATGGTATATTATTCGGTACATAAATCAAGTTCGTGGATCTTCCAGGTTATAACATGGGGTATTTCATTCTTCAGTTTCTTTTAACTTCTTATCTTGATCAATTCTAATAAGTCTGCCCTTGAGTATTTTAAGCATCTCCTTAAAACTTAATTTAAAACTCGTGTTCACAAAGAGTAAAGAAAATTTTAACTCAACATTTTGCAGCTTTAGACAGAATTTTCGCTTAGTCTTAATGGCCAGTTATGCCAATTTAGTTGAGTAAAGCAATTATGCAAATGTGGGAAAACCAAAATTTCAAATTATTAAAAGTTCATTCTAAATAAAGCAGATTCTCTTCCCCCTCAAAATTAGATTTCCTTCCAACTTCAGGTAAAATTAAATGATAAACGTCAAAATAAACCTGCGAGTAGCACACATTTTTTTAAATAACTTTATAATATACAGTACGAAGAAATGAAAACTGAAAAATAATAGATTGCAAGAAGACTAAAAACGGCAAAACAGGTAATTTTAAAATTCATTAAAAATTGCTTTATTTAAAATAAGAGTAGTAAAAGTAGATGGATTCTTATCAGTTTAACATAACATAGAAGCTGTACAGAGAGTCCAGAAACTAAGAATACAGTTTTTTTTGCAATATTTTATATTTAATTTAGCAAATTTCAAGCAAAGCTATAATATGTAAAGGCAGGCATTTAGTTCACGAAATTTAAAAGTAAAAACATTAGACTACAATCGATAATTTATGAAATTAAAGAATGTTATCAAACAAATTTTACGATAAAAAATTAAGAATATTTTCCCGAAAGAAGCGCTTAATTACGGATATTTTTTCAGCTGTGAACTTAAAGAAAAATTCGTATCATTATTATTTATTTCTCGACACAGCCTGTTTGTTATACTTTAATCTGATTTTGAAGATAATATGAAACCTGGAAGAAAATCCAATACTGATGTGGGAACGTTCGCTTTAGGTTTATCAAAGAATGGTAAAATCTTATCTTAAAATCATTAAAATTACAGAACGAAGTCATACGTGCGTTCAGAAAATAATTGGAAAGTACAAAAGGGAGGGAATGGTCGGAAATAAAAGTAGAAGAGAAAGAAAAGAAATCCTGCACACAGATACCCAAAGAGAAATACTGAAAGGAATCAAGTTGGACTGAAAGGAATCAAGTTGGACTGAAAGGAATCAAATACCTTCGGCGATCAACATCTCCGTTTTCAACATCTTTCCCTTGGTTATGTATAAAATATTAGCAGCTATATTTTTTTACTATTATGTACTCCTATATGAGTAGATTCATGTATATATATTGAGAGTTGAAGGTTGGAAGACCATTTTTGTTAGTCTCAAAAACGTATATCCAACGGCAAAACATATAGGTGGATCTGTTATGGTATGGACGCAAATGGATTTGGGAAGCTTGTTTTCATTGGTTGTATTATGAACCACATAAAATATTTAGATATACTAAAACTAAAGGAAAGAACTATTAAGTTTACGGAAAATTTAACATTTCAACAAAAGAATGACCCCAAATGAAAATGTTATCGTTATCACAGTAAGCCGCAACTATATACTCTTCTTAAGTCTCCTGAATCCCGCGAACGGGCTGGCTGCATGGGCTTTTTTCGTGGTTTTTCCCATGTGTAACGTGTATACGAGCCAGTTTCCCTTGGAAAGTTCTCCACGAAGGCATCCCTCCCTTTAGGCAGATAGCCCTAGTGTGCTTTGCCGTAATTAAATAAACCAAACCTTAAGTCTCCTGACAACCAGCGTCACTGAAAATCTGTGGTCCACGCTCTCAACATACAGCTTAATAAAATAACAAGTAAAGATAATGTTGCATGTGCTCTGCAAGAGAAGTGGAATAAAATATCTTCAGATGCACGTAAAAATTTAGCTTAGTCTATCCTACGACATTCGGAATAAATAATAAATGCTAACTGACAAGCAACAAAATATTAGCCCTTATATATTTATGAAAGAAAGTTTTTTAGTGTATTTAGTTCCCCGCCCTTCAAAATTCTGTTAATGTTTAGTTTAAATGCTACACGAAATTTTATTTTCAAGAATTTTAACTTTCACTTTTCTGGGTCGGAAATGAAATTCATCAAGATTACGATATAAAAATAGGTTTGTACTTTTTAATAATTATTTATTTGCTTTAAAAATTACATTTATCAATAAAAAGTTTGATGTATTCTCAATTTTTGGACTCACTACGGTCATAGTGTTGATGGTTTTTTTAAAGTGTCTGGAATTCAAAATTTGATACCAGTGCTTTTAAGAAACTCGGCAGTTACCCAGACTATTAAGAAATGTTAAAAAAAGAATTATATGTATTTTAAAAGTGCATCGTTAATGAGTTCTGCTTGTTTAAAAGTATCACAAACAGTATGAGGAATATGTAAAAAAAGTATAACTTTTCTGTTTCCCATCCAAGGCAAAGTATCATCGAGGCATTCTTTTAGTTTCATGTGAATTAAATAAAAAGAAAATTGGCTTAACTTCAAAATGTGTGTACCGTAACACTGCATTCTCCCTCCCTCTCCCCCATGTGTGCTCAATCTAGATTTTCATGACTTGAGGTCCTTAAGTACAAGAACTATGAAGCGCGCCAAATTGAATAGCTCGGTAGTTTCTATAATGAGTATTTTTACTCGAGTATTTTTACTCATTTTCAAAACAGATTACTTTTATAAACTTTTTCGACTTTCACAGAAATATACAGATGATTATTTTCATAAATTTGTTCTCCTATTATATCTTTCTTTCTCAACATTTTTAAGCCAACTACTTTGATGTAATGGAACTGGTCATTTTGAACTCTTGCAAAATTTTGGGTTCTTTTAACTACAACTGAATTGCAAAATTTTCTCATAAAATTTCAGAATATTTCAAATACTTTCTTATATCATACAGAAATAATAAAAACAAATTTGCGTCGGCTTGGTTGATCCCTATCTGAGCAAAGACTCACAATATGACACAACTTTCCTTCCACCAGTTCTCTTTCCATTCTTCATGAGTATTTGCATGACAATGAATCATCAAACCCGCCTCTCTTTTTTGACGGTGAATGATATCAAAACAATTGAAGATCATCAGCGCAAAGAAAGAGATGTCTTCGTGCAAGGCGGACGAAAGTTCGATTAGTAATTACGCGTATGTCAAAACACAAAGTTACTATAAACTTAGCACAAAACAACTTATATCTGTGTAACGCGGGACACTTGAATGCAGGACTTTCTGCGAGAAACCGGCTAACATTCATGATTACGTATGAGAAACACTCCAGAGTTAAGTAATTTCGTAACCAGAAATCAAATGCAGGACAATACTACGAGTTCTCAGCTACTTTTATCAGTCAGCCATTGTCTGAACCATCACCTGAGATTATATAATCATATTAAATTTTTAGTATCCATAGTTCTTTTGTCAAGTACTTTGATTCTAGTAATTTTATTTTCTCCTATTATTCAGTTAAGCTTAATAAAAGTCTGCATTTCGCTATATGTTTTGGCATTGATAATTTTTAGATTACTTTTTAATCACTTCCATTCAAATTCAAATTTTTTCAATTTTTCAAAAGTTCAAAATGTTTTTTAGTTTCTAAACTTGTGTATGAAGACTTAGATTTCCTGCAAACTGATTATAAATTGCTAGTGAATGAAAATGATGCAAGAAAGGATGCTATACGCATAATCAATTCAATGTTATCGGCAGTATATACAATAAATATGCCGGGAAAATACGCACTTACTATTTCTTTCAGATGGAAAACCTTTTTAATTATATAAAACTGCTATATACTAAATTATCAAATTTCTTTCACTTTTTGCTTTCACAATTCAAAAAAATTGTTTTCTTTTGAATTCTACTTGCCTTTTTTATTAGTTGATCATTCAAACTAAAAATCTGATCATCATCATCCCCACATGACTTCCTTGAATGGCCTGTAAAATTATACACATTTTTAGTTGCACATCAGTTAAACTTATTTCCTCGAATTATTCTAACTTAATTAACGATTCCCCAAGGCAAGTTGAAAATGACATTAAAAAGTGAAACTTTTGAAATTAAAAATTCCGGTCAATTTTTGTCGTACGGGAATCAAACTTCTTATATTTTTATTTTTTTTTCATAACAAGTATAAAACTTCCTCAAATCTAAGTATGGGAACTGGGAGACCGCATTAAAAGTTAGATTTTGCTATTCGTCGAAAATTAATCTTCTTTCCTTTATTTTAATTTAACACTGCCAAAACATGAATATTTTTCTCGTCTAACGCACTTCTATAATTGGAAGTAGTATATGACTGCGACCAACGATTGCGAAAATAAAGGCCGGGTCCGGTCTTTAAAGCTACGGACTTTAAGGCCTTACCTGTAAGGGATATACAGTCGCTCAAACAATTGAGGATACACCTTACTTTCACTTGATAAATCCAACTTTCAATGGAAAGAACACATTAATTAGAAGAGAAAACGTGTTTTTATTTTCACACGTAACAAAAGGGTTAATTTACAGTAAAAATAACGAAAGTCAACAAAAAATATCTAAAATTAAAAATTTCACTAGTATTTGAAATAAACATAGGCAGATCTTTACCTCAAAAAATTAAGGATACACCAATGAAATTTTTGTGATATATCACATACAAAGAAAGTGTCAATATTTGGTTTTTTATTTATTTTTTATTTATTACGTGCTCCGCCCTTAGGCACTACACGGAAAGGGAGGGATGCCCCGTGGAGGTCTTTTTAAGGAAAACTGGCTCGTATCCACGTTACACATGGGGAAAACCACGAAAACGCCCATGCAGCCAGCCCGTTCGCCGGGACTCGAACCCCGGAACGAACTACCAGTGTTCAGCGGCTTTTACCGCTCGGCTGCTGGTGGGCTCAATATTTGGTTGCATACCCTTTGGGCTTTTAGAATGTCCTCCAAACGTCTTGGTACCGATTCGACCAGTTTTTTGGTTGTATCTGGAGATATTTTATCCCATTCTTCTTGTAACACTTCTTTAAATGGGCTTTGTTCCTAATTTGGTGGTTTTGGACCGCTGTTTCGAGTGTGGCCCACAAATTTTCCATGGCATTGATGTCAGGGGACTGTGGGGGTGTTTTCAATTGCTGGTTACAATGAAAAAGACACCACATTTTGACATTATGTGCCATGTGTTTGGGGTCGTTGTCGTGCTGGAATATAAAATTTCCATCTAAACCCAATTTTTTTGCACTTTCTTTAAGATTGGAGTATATCTATATAAAGCTTATGATCCATTATGCCATCTATAAAAACTAAATTTCCTACCCCATTTGTAGCCATACAACCCCAAACCATGACGGAGCCACTACCATGTTTAACTGTAGGACGTAAATTTTTTGGATCCAAAGCGGTGTTCGGCTTTCTCCAAACGGTACGACGACCATCCCTTCCAAAAATATTGAATTTACTTTCATCACTAAATATAACTTTCTTCCAAAAGTTATCTGTCTTCAATTGATGAGTTTTTACAAACTCCAAACGCTTTTTCTGATTTTGTAAGCTTATAAATGGTTTCTTTCTAGCTACTCGACTGCTGTATCCAGCATGTCTAATCACATTTCTCACAGTTTCAATACTTACACTTCTGCACATTATTCGAGAAGTTTCTGCAGCTAGTTTGACTGTACTTAGTTTAGGATCAATCTTGGTATGTTTCAAAATTTCCCTTTTGGCTACATCACTCAGAATACTTTTCCTTCCTCTTCCACTTTTATTTTCAATTAATCCATCGTTTTTAAATCTTCCAATGATTTTCTGTACACACGAGTGGCTTCTACCGACAATTTCAGCTATTTCACGATAAGATTTTCCTTTCTTGAATAAACTTAACATAAATTTTCTTACATCAATACTGGTCTCTCTCCGAGGAGTCATTTTTCCATTTAAAATTGCGACTTTAAATTCACATAACCAACTTCAAAAGACAAAAATAACAGTCGAAAAAGTGTGAGATAAAATTGCCCAAACTTAGATTATGATAGTAGCAAGCAGAAATAAAATCTAGTGGTAGTTAAACGAAAATTTCATTGGTGTCTCTTCAATTTTTTTTCTTCTTTTGAGGTAAAAATCTGCTTATGTTTATTTGAAATGCCTCTGAAAATTTTTATTTTAGATTTTTCTATATTTTTACTGCTAATTAAACCTTTTGTTATGTCTAAGAATAAAAGTACGTTTTCACTTCTAGTTAATGTGTTATTTCGATTGAAAGTTGGATTTATCAAGTAAAAGTAAGGTGTATCCTCAATTGTTTCTCACTCTCATACCTGTCTTTAACGTCCGGACCCTGCCTTTATATAGTATATCTGATTAACGATAAGCCAGCTTTTTGTTTTTACGAATATGGCGCTCACCAGCGGCCGAGCGGTAAAGTCGCTAAACCCTGGTAGTTCGGTCCAAGGTTCGAATCCCGCGAACGGGCTGGCTGCATGGGCGTTTTCGTGGTTTTCCCCATGGTAACGTGTATACGAGCCAGTTTCCCTTAGAAAGTCCTCCACGAAGGCATCCGTCCCTTTAGGCAGATAGCCCTCGAGGCTTTGCCGTAATTAAATAACCTAACCTGTTTTTACGAATAAGGATATAAATTGTTATTGCCGTATTTTTACTGCATTTTGAAAAAATTTTAACATTTTTTACCTGACTTCTACAGAATAACAGGCAGTGGATTATTTTCAAAGTCATGATTCTACTATTAAAAAAATATTTTAATGGGCACTGTTTAGCCGAATATGGCTGACAAAACAGTAATACATTTATATTCGACTTGCGGGGAGTTTATCGAAGTTATCGAGTTTATTAATATATCATTCGAGTTTATAATGGTACGAGTTACGTTACGTATCGAGTTTATAAAATCGAAGTTTCTAACAAAATGGTAGAACTTGTTGAAAATCTTTTTACGAAGCTCAAAAACATAGCAGGTCGAATAGGCACTATTTATTAAATAAAGAAGGGTCAATTTCTTCAGAATTCCGCATAAACCATTGGCTCAAATTTGACTGTATTTCCACCAACTTTCAAGGTTCGACCCGTAGCCAAATTTCGTGGTCGCCGGGATATTACACAAGTACCAGTCATTTTTACGCAAAATTATTGCAATCGCGAAAACGTTCGGTTATTAAATTTCAACTTAAATATCTATTTTGACCACTTCCGAATTCATCTGGACGATTTGTTTGTGTGACATCTGTAGGTACGGTCAGAATAAAAGACTTTTTTTGTCCAAAACGGATTGTAAAAATAGATTTAAAACGGATTCAAAAGGGATCTTTTTCTTGATGTCTGTACGTACATATGTACGAATCAAGCATAACTCAAAACCGATTAGCCGTAGAACGTTGAAATTTTGTAGACGAGACCTATAACATCTAGTTATGCACCTTTCCTTTCGCTGCAATCGGCGGTACCAAACGTGTGCATATATATAGTTACAGCTGCGTTATCTAGAATCAGTCGAAAGGTCAGCTGTTATGATTCTGTTATTATGACACACTTATCCATAAATGGCGCTAAATCGCTTTGCTTGGCGATAGTTTCCCGGTCGACGGGTTAATACGTAAGTATCAAATGAATATACATTTTTTTTCCCTTGAATGCCATAAGTATTTAATAATTCATTTTAGTAGAATGAGTTTTATATAAGTTGTCATTAATTCCAGTATTAAAGGTTTGTATTTTTCACAGAAAACTGCGACCTTTTAATGCTTTTAATAAAATTCAGTCAAAGCAAGTTAAAACAAAATCTTTTAAAACAACTCGCAAACTTCTATACATACATTTTCTTAACCGCTCATATCTGGAAGCACAATCCACCAAATGAGGTACCTTTTAAAATTTATCTTATTCATATTTTGATAACTATTGAAATAAGAACTATTGAATAAGAAACACCTTACAAATGCTTCTTTCCTGTTTAGTTTGAGCATTTGGCTCAGGTTACGATAGATAGACTAAATTATTTGATTATAGCAAAGCCCGCTAAGACTATGTACATACAGGTATACATTCGTGGAGGATATTTTAAGGAAATATGATCCATATTTACATTACATACGATAAAATCATCAAAACCTAATATAGCCGGTACGTTTTATCGCAGAACTTAGAACTACTAGCGTTTAGGAAATTTAACCACTCCGTGGATTTCAGATAACATTAGTGTGCTTTTGAAGAAGCGGATTAAAAAAAAATATTTATATCACATTTCATAAAACTTAAGTTATTTTTCCTATCGTATTTTATTTTATTTAACGGGACTTTGTGAAATTTTGTCATCAGTAAAACGAGCGTAATGTTTCGTCATAATAGGAATCAATTTAGGTACATAGCAAATTGAAGGCCCTATGTTGGCAGGAATGTCTATTTGGAGACTTTCTAATGAAAACCAGTTAATATTCACGGTGTGTGGGAAAAATCACATAATTTGTAGGCCTCCATTTCATTCAATCGCCTGGTGGATAGTTATCTATGTTCATTTGTGTTTTCTCAGTCACTGATGGACTTCATTCTCAGCATAATGTAAAAACAAAAAATCTTCTTCATATATTGTTCCAAAACCGAAAACAATTTGGTGGGTTAGTTAATTGATTAAAGGAAAGTTCACGAGAGCTATCCTCCCAGAGGGTGGGATGCATATTTTCTGAGGGAAATTATCTCGTATTTATGTTAAAAGCAGTGAGTGCGCTTACTTAAATTATACAGTACTCCAACAGAATGCAAATAATCCCACCAAATTACTTTCAATTTTTTTTCCTTAAAAATAAAATATTAGATCTGATATATATTGCAGGGGGAAAAAAAGTGAAATTTAATTTCATGAAATCAGAAACGGCGATGTTTAAACTTCAAACTTAGGCGAACATTTATTCACAGATAAATTTATATATTTTTAAATTGCAATTGTATATTA